GGGAGGAGGGATGCGAGACTCAGTCCCGGGCGCCCAAGGGAGGAGGGATGCGCGACTAAGTCCCGGGCGCCCAAGGGAGGAGGGATGCGCGACTCAGTCCATGGCGCCCAAGGGAGGAGGGATGCGCGACTCAGTCCATGGCGCCCAAGGGAGGAGGGATGCGCGACTCAGTCCCGAACGCCCAAGGGAGGAGGGATGCGCGACTAAGTCCCGAACGCCCAAGGGAGGAGGGATGCGCGACTCAGTCCCGGGCGCCCAAGGGAGGAGGGATGCGCGACTCAGTCCCGGGCGCCTAAGGGAGGAGGGATGCGAGACTCAGTCCCGGGCGCCTAAGGGAGGAGGGATGCGTGACTCAGTCCCGGGCGCCCAAGGGAGGAGGGATGCAAGACTCAGTCCCGGGCGCCCAAGGGAGGAGGGATGCGAGACTCAGTCCCGGGCGCCCAAGGGAGGAGGGATGCGCGACTCAGTCCCGGGCGCCCAAGGGAGGAGGGATGCGAGACTCAGTCCTGGGCGCCTAAGGGAGGAGGGATGCGTGACTCAGTCCCGGGCGCCTAAGGGAGGAGGGATGCGCGACTCAGTCCTGGGCGCCTAAGGGAGGAGGGATGCGCGACTCAGTCCCGGGCGCCCAAGGGAGGAGGGATGCGAGACTCAGTCCTGGGCGCCTAAGGGAGGAGGGATGCGAGACTCAGTCCCGGGCGCGCAAGGGAGGAGGGATGCGCGACTCAGTCCCGGGCGCCCAAGGGAGGAGGGATGCGAGACTCAGTCCTGGGCGCCTAAGGGAGGAGGGATGCGAGACTCAGTCCCGGCCGCGGAAGGGAGGAGGGATGCGCGACTCAGTCCCGGGCGCCCAAGGGAGGAGGGATGCGAGACTCAGTCCTGGGCGCCTAAGGGAGGAGGGATGCGCGACTCAGTCCATGGCGCCCAAGGGAGGAGGGATGCGCGACTCAGTCCATGGCGCCCAAGGGATGAGGGATGCGCGACTAAGTCCCGAACGCCCAAGGGAGGAGGGATGCGCGACTCAGTCCCGGGCGCCCAAGGGAGGAGGGATGCGCAACTCAGTCCCGGGCGCCTAAGGGAGGAGGGATGCGCAACTCAGTCCCGGGCGCCTCAGGGAGGAGGGATGCGCAACTCAGTCCATGGCGCCCAAGGGAGGAGGGATGCGCGACTCAGTCCATGGCGCCCAAGGGAGGAGGGATGCGCGACTCAGTCCCGGGCGCCTAAGGGAGGAGGGATGCGCGACTCAGTCCCGAACGCCCAAGGGAGGAGGGATGCGCGACTCAGTCCATGGCGCCCAAGGGAGGAGGGATGCGCGACTCAGTCCCGGGCGCCCAAGGGAGGAGGGATGCGCGACTAAGTCCCGAACGCCCAAGGGAGGAGGGATGCGCGACTAAGTCCCGAACGCCCAAGGGAGGAGGGATGCGCGACTCAGTCCATGGCGCCCAAGGGAGGAGGGATGCGCGACTCAGTCCATGGCGCCCAAGGGAGGAGGGATGCGCGACTCAGTCCCGGGCGCCTAAGGGAGGAGGGATGCGCGACTCAGTCTCGGGCGCCTAAGGGAGGAGGGATGCGCAACTCAGTCCCGGGCGCCTCAGGAAGGAGGGATGCGCGACTCAGTCCCGGGCGCCTAAGGGAGGAGGGATGCGCGACTCAGTCTCGGGCGCCTAAGGGAGGAGGGATGCGCGACTCAGTCTCGGGCGCCTAAGGGAGGAGGGATGTGCGACTCAGTCCCGGGCGCCTCAGGGAGGAGGGATGCGTGACTCAGTCCCGGGCGCCCAAGGGAGGAGGGATGCGCGACTCAGTCCCGGGCGCGCAAGGGAGGAGGGATGTGCGACTCAGTCCATGGCACCCAAGGGAGGAGGGATGCGCGACTCAGTCCCGGGCGCCCAAGGGAGGAGGGATGCGCGACTAAGTCCCGGGCGCCCAAGGGAGGAGGGATGCGCGACTCAGTCCCGGGCGCCCAAGGGAGGAGGGATGCGCGACTCAGTCCCGGGCGCCCAAGGGAGGAGGGATGCGCGACTCAGTCCCGGGCGCCCAAGGGAGGAGGGATGCGCGACTCAGTCCCGGGCGCCCAAGGGAGGAGGGATGCGCGACTCAGTCCCGGGCGCCCAAGGGAGGAGGGATGCGCGACTCAGTCCCGGGCGCCCAAGGGAGGAGGGATGCGCGACTCAGTCCCGGGCGCCTAAGGGAGGAGGGATGCGCGACTCAGTCCCGGGCGCCTAAGGGAGGAGGGATGCGCAACTCAGTCCTGGGCGCCTAAGGGAGTAGGGATGCGCGACTAAGTCCATGGCTCCTAAGGGAGGAGGGATGCGCGACTCAGTCCCGGGCGCCCAAGGGAGGAGGGATGCGAGACTCAGTCCTGGGCGCCTAAGGGAGGAGGGATGCGCGACTCAGTCCCGAACGCCCAAGGGAGGAGGGATGCGCGACTCAGTCCCGAACGCCCAAGGGAGGAGGGATGCGCGACTCAGTCCCGGGCGCCTCAGGGAGGAGGGATGCGAGACTCAGTCCCGGGCGCCTAAGGGAGGAGGGATGCGTGACTCAGTCCCGGGCGCCCAAGGGAGGAGGGATGCGAGACTCAGTCCCGGGCGCCCAAGGGAGGAGGGATGCGCGACTAAGTCCCGGGCGCCCAAGGGAGGAGGGATGCGCGACTCAGTCCATGGCGCCCAAGGGAGGAGGGATGCGCGACTCAGTCCATGGCGCCCAAGGGAGGAGGGATGCGCGACTCAGTCCCGAACGCCCAAGGGAGGAGGGATGCGCGACTAAGTCCCGAACGCCCAAGGGAGGAGGGATGCGCGACTCAGTCCCGGGCGCCCAAGGGAGGAGGGATGCGCGACTCAGTCCCGGGCGCCCAAGGGAGGAGGGATGCGCGACTCAGTCCCGGGCGCCCAAGGGAGGAGGGATGCGCGACTCAGTCCCGGGCGCCCAAGGGAGGAGGGATGCGCGACTCAGTCCCGGGCGCCCAAGGGAGGAGGGATGCGCAACTCAGTCCCGGGCGCCTAAGGGAGGAGGGATGCGCGACTCAGTCCATGGCGCCCAAAGGAGAAGGGATGCGTGTAATGCATGACCAAGTCCCTTTGCTGTTCACCCGAAACTATCACAACACTATTAATCGGCTATGGTCTAATATAAAACAAAAAGTTTAAAAAAAGAAAAAAACTTCTTAGTCATCTACTTGTCAAAAGTTTATTGTTTCTTTTGTACTATAATATTCAGTCCCTAAAGCCCTTTTATGCCAACTAGTCAACTTGAACATGGAATAGAATATTCAAGTTAGTGTTTGTAACTCTAGGAGGTATATAATAAACTATATTTTGTTAGTCAAAAGTACCTTGAAATGTTACTTCTTTTCATTCATAAAGATAATATAAGATCAATGAATCAGGGAGATTAATTTTATTAAACAACATGTATGAGTGATTGATACATTCCCATATAATGAGCAAACAGAAACACTCCAGTTAGTAGGGGACAAAGATATTCAAGAACCTATACATAATTTTCATTTGTAGATATATGTATTATATGGTAGCACTAGTGGTGAAGAATCTGCCTGCCAGGAGACACAAGAGACAGGTTTCAACTCTGGGAAGATTCCCTGGAGTAGGAAATGGCAACACACTGCAGTTATTCTTGCCTGGGAAATTCCATGGATAGAGGAGCCTGGCAGACTACAGTCTATGGCATCACAAGAGTCAGACACAACTGAGCACACACATGTACATATTATATGTGTAGATTTCGTCTGATTTACCTTTCTAATTCATGAAGTGTATTTTCACTTAGGGGATGCAGCAAACATGTGTGCAGAATAATGGCAGGGAGGCAATTCTTTAAATGGAAAACTAATTTTCCACAAGAAAGCCACCAAATTGATATTTACATGTAAGCATTTAAGAATTAGAACATTACACTGTATTTGCTCAATAAGACCACTAGCAAAAGTTTATCAGAAAAAAAGAAATAACCTTTATCAGAGATAAAGCAAGAATAAATAAATAAACCCTCACTTGTATGGTTCAGTCTAACAAATAGGACAAATATTTTTCAAGGGCACAGAAAGATGCAAAAACAGAAAAAGAACACTGTTGTTTGCTGTAACTTTAGGACCCATTAATAAAAATTCCTTTCTCATCTTAGAAAAATGCATATGATTCACTGTAGAACAAATATGTCATATTTATGTAAATTTGTTACTTAAATATTTTCAAACTCTGTAGTCTCCTTCTCTTCTAATTGTTCTTTTTTCCCATGTGATCAGATCAAGTTTCAGAGTTTTTAATGCTATCTGTGGTGACCAGGCTGACCTCTCTCCTGAACTCTAGACTCATTATGCACTTGACCCTTGGTCATACTTGGCTACCCACTAGGTCTCTCAAATTCAACATGTCCAAAGTAGAATTACTCATTTTTCCTCCAAAACTATTCCTCAGCCATTCTCCCATTTCAGTAAATTGTGCCATTCTCTGCCTAATAGTGCACCCAAGACCTTGGTTTTCACTTTTTGGTCCCCCAGTCTCCTTAAGTGATTTGCCAAATCTAATTTATCAGCAAGTTCTGATAATTTTATCTCAACAATGTATCCTGAAACTATTCTCTTCTTTCCATCTCTGCTATCATCCCTTTCACCATCATCTTCCACCTGCTTAATCAAAAGGGCTCCTAAAAATGTATAATGAGATTTGAAATAAAAGTGAAATATTTTCCCCCAAAAGTTTAAATTGCTCAAATTAGAAGTATATATTTAAACATCTCAGAAGAAGGATTTAAATTCTAATTCCTTCTTTTTGACAGAGATTCTAGGTGAGATTTTACAAGTGAGGAAATTGAAGCTTGGAAAATGAAATAACTCAAGCCACACAGAAGCCAAATAATTCACCCAGGTCCCACAACTAGCTTGGGCAGAGTTGGGACACAAATCCACTTGTGACTGACTCCAAAATCCATGTTCTTTCCATGACACCTGGATGCTGTGCCATACTTATCTGGGTTTTATGTATACTTACATCATCACTTTAGCCTCTTCAATGAAATCCTCTTCAGACATGAAGCCTTCGTTGATGGCCTTGATAGCTACCTGGACATGTGCTCGCCATTGGCCTAAATAGACCACCCCAAACTGACCGCTTCCAATCTGCTTCACAAAAGCCAACTCAGATGGATCTATCTCCCACTTTTCTGGAAAAGTAAAATATCCATGTTACAAGTAAGGAAAAATGTTAAATTTTAGAGCTAGAAAAGATCTAGGAATTATCTCGATCTATTTTCTTTTAATTTTCAGAGGTTGAAAACATTTATAAATGAGAAGAAAGGGCCTGTTACCATTTTTAATACTATCACTGTGGCTTAAAAGTATACTTCCAGAATTCAAGTTTAAATGCAATAATTTCTAAAGGAATTTTGTATGTTGAATCATGCCATATAAACACATTTTTGTAAAATAAGTAAAAATAAACAAAGACACAAATCTCACTTACTTGGAGAGAAATTATGGGTATCAAAACAGGCTTTTTCTTTCCCAAGAGACCCAGAAGGAAACACTGTTCTGTGTCTTCTAAACTAAACCTGCCCAAACCAGATGTGTGACCTAAATTTGTACATCCCTAGACTGTTTTTGTTCTGATAAGTAAACATGTGAGGTAGAGAAAACCTCGGCTCCCCCCACCCCCACCCCAGTTTCTTTTACTGTTCCTCTGCCACTCCCACCCCTAAAGGGCTTTTTTTGCTCTTTCTCTTTTGCAAAAAGTCTAAACAATTCATCAAATAAATATTTTCAATATTAAGATTCTAACCTATATCTAAGTGTATGTTTGAAATGATATTTGCATTACTGAATATATCTCATCCTATAGAAGCAAATCAGTGGGGGTGGGGGGGAGGACTATTTTTAAAATAATGCTTTGGAAAACTCTGAGAATCAAATCTTAGCTTTTTAGTATCCCCTTTTATATAGCAATGCCACCATCTGCTGGAACTTTAAGATAATGCATTTAAAAGAATTGAAGGGAACTCCCTGGCTGTCCAGTGGTTAGGACTTCATGCTTTCACTCGCCAGTGCCCAGGTTGGATTTCTGGTCAGGGAACTAAGATCTCACAAGCTGTGAAGCACGTTCTCCCCTATCCCCTCCCCGCTCCCCCCCAAAAAAAGAATTATAAGGACTGATGGACCTTTGTATCAGGCTTTGCAACGTACTCCCCTTTCCAAATAGTAGGTGTGTTTTTAAAGTAACATAGGAGAATATATTCATGATCTTGGGATTGGCATAGATTTATTCAATAGAATATAACCATAGGAGATATATATTGATAAATTATACTTCATAAAATCTTATTTATCAAATACAGCCAATTAAGAAAATGAAAAAGTAAGCCACAGACTGGGGGAAGAGATTTCTTAAAATATATAACCGACTTAAGAAGTCCTTTTCAAAATAATAATAAATCAACTAGGAAAAGGCATATAATCCTATTTTTAAGTGTTAAATAAAAACTTGAATAGAGTTTTCTCTCACAAAAGAGAATACCCAAAATGGCAACTGAACCTGTGAAAAGTTGATCAGGGAAATTCCATATTTAAGCCAAAATGATATACGCACACATGCACTAGATTAGCTGAAATGTGAAGAAACACCAAGCCAGAACAAACACACACCACAAGAATGCAAAACACTGGCAGGGACAAAGATGTGGAACAGTGGAAACTCACATATGTCATTGATTGAAATATAATTTGGGATAAGTTCTTTGAAAACTGACTAAATCTGAGTGTGTGCATACTCTATGACTGAGCAAATCTAAGGATACATCCAACATTGTCTGGGCATAAATGTGATTAAACTTATCAAAAGACAAACAAGAATGTTCATAATGTTATTTAGAAAAGCCAATAATTGGTTACAACCCAAATGGCTGTATGAAGAAAAATGGTCAGGCCCATTGCAGTAGAGTCACAGAGCACAGCAGTGTAGTGCCACATGGATGCACCAACCACGAGCTGGCTGGTTCCGACACCACGAGTGAATTCACTCACGGGCCGGTGGGAGAAAGAAGTCAGACATGGATGCACTGTGTTGAATTTTGTTTATATAAAGTAATCAAAATGAGACAAAATTAATCAGACTCTAGATTTATAAACTTATATACTGTTAAGGATATTTAAATTTTGAAAAGTTTATTTTTTTAATGAATGAGGACCATATTTAACTTAGATAAATTGCTGATGATACAATTTTTAAACATGTAGTATTTATGGGGTAGAGGAATAATCTAAACACCCATAAAACTCTGGAATCACCTTTCCATCCCAATTCAGAGACTGAGTCCTGGGTGCCTGCTACACAATAATTGTGTGGGTTTTTTTTTTTTTTTTTTAGCATATTCTTAGTCCCCATAGTGAGATAAATTTCAGGAAATAAAGTATCGCCAAATTAGAAAGAAATATTCTTTGGCTCTTATTTATTCTCATAGATTTGCAACTACCACATTCACTAGAAAATAGTTCAAATCAAACTTCACCCAAATTCTATTTGAAAAGGTGAAAAGGACAGATTTAGCAGCTCATTTTAGTAGGTCCCATTGGGAAGAAGTCATTTTCCAGTCACCCACATAACTAGAGAGCAAGAACCCAATCATTCAAATAAAAAGAATTGGAATTTATCAAACAGGCTCCAAATAATGTATAATGAAACTTGAAGCAAAAGTGAAACATTTCCCCCAAAGTTTAAATGCCCTTATGAAATGCATTTAAATGCATTTAAATCTCAGAAAGGAGATTTAATCTTTGAGGAGAAAACATATATTAAGACAGACATCTCAAAAGAGCTGACAATTTAAAGAACACAGAGGGAACTTGGGGTAAACTCTTTACTGGATTCGATTTTTACTTGAGCACACATGCATACTTTACCATAACTGAAACCAGCTGTGGCTGGCAAACAACTGCCCATCAGACCAACTGGGTAACGGAGACGGGACAAGAGCCCTGGGGAGAAAGAGAAACCAGCATTTCAATCCTAGTTCCTGGTACAAGAGGAAAAGCCAAATATACCAGAAGATGGAACCATTCCCTAAACAGATCAGCCAAAGAAAGTATTCTACAGCTACTCTGTTTGCTTATTTTTCCTATTTGAAAAAGACTTCTCATAATATAGTATATGCTCATTGAACACAAGTTAAAGAATCCAAGAAAATACAAAAACGAAAAGGTCCCTTACAAAATCTTAGTATCCAGAGATACTTTGTTATCATTTTTGGGACCATCTTTGCAAAAATCTCTATCTGTGTATTTGAACATATATACACATCTGATATGTTTCATGGAAATGCCAATGTTTTGCTATAAACTTCTTACACTCAACAAATAATCGATATACAGCAATGACTATAAATGGACCTTAAAATTATTTCCAAGATTTCACTATAGGAAAACATGCTGTATGCTGAGGGGAGTGACATGAGGGTAAGAGCATGGCAAGCAAAAGGATGAAATTGAGATAGCTCATGTTTGGTGACTGATTTTTTTTTATTTTTTAAAAACAATATAGTTGATGCACAATATTATATAAGTTACAGCTGTCCAATAAGGTGTTTCACAATTTTTAAAGGTTACATTCCACTTATAGCTATGATAAAATATTAGCTATAAGTGTCTATGTTGTACAATATATCCTAGCAGCTTATTTTACACATAGTTTATACCTCTTAGACTTCAATTTTCTTAGTGAAGTAGAGAGGCAATTTGCTGATGGGCAGTGGATAATACTGGAAAGAGGGTTTTTGAGGAGAATGGTAGAAGTTTGAACAGAAAACAGGAAAGGATGCTTACTAGTGACTCTGAAGACCTAGTTGGGATTAGAGCCCTCATCAAATTGGGACTCTATGACACATGATCCAAATAAAAACACAAGAGGAATTGCTTTAACACCCTAACACTTCCCTCTGAATTCAAAGTTTTTGTTTGCCAAATATTTTTATTCTGTGAATTACTACCAACAGTTTAGTGACAGTGTATCTCTCTGATATAAACTAAAAAAGTCTGTCACTCTCTTTGCACTATCCTTACTTCTGGTAAGGAGATGGATTGTTACTAGCTAAAGTGACCAGAAGTCAAAAAATAGATGGGTCAGTCATGGGTTCCAAGCCTCTTCTAAAATGGTCTCTCCAATCATCTAATTTGCTTCTTTCTGGAAAAGACAGCAGTCATTAAACACAGACTGTGGAGCCAGTGGGTTTAATGGCTCCAATGGTTTCATAGATTTCTGTGGTTTCAAATCTTGGCTCAAATACCTATTAATGGTGTGACCTTGAGCACAAATCATGCCTGAGATTCCTCATCTGTGAGATGGAGATGTCAACAGTATCAACCTCATTGGATTTCTCTGAGGATTAAATAAATAAATAGACATAAATAGGGTCTGGCCCAAAGTAAGTCTTCAATAAATACTAGTTGATTCTGGATCCCATGCCTTTCCTCTTATCATTTTTCTTCCTCTTTGTCTTATCTCTTTTCTACTTTCTTTTCTCTCTAACAGCAGCCATAGTTATAAGTTTTCAGCTCCTGTTTTTCATCTTCTTATTGTTTGATCTAGCTTTAATTTTAAAAGTTATCTGTATGGTATTTCATACACTGTAAGAATAATTTATGTATATGTATATTGTAATAAAAAAAAAAACCCAAGGCAATCTATAAAGCAGAAAATAAAAGTTTTCCTTACCCTCAGTCTCCTTCCCCAGAGGTAAACATTAACAGTTTATAGTCTGTTATCTTCTTATTAGTTCAAAAATTATAATCTAAACTTTAACAGAATTTTCCTAGGCACACATGTCTGTGTGAATGTGTATTACTCTACAAAAGTGAGGCTATAAATATACTGTTTTGCACTTTTTTCTCTTTACTAAACCATTTATCACTAACATCTTTTAGGTTCGTACATCCTGATCTGCCACAGTACTTTTTTTAACCTCACCACCACAAACACTGAGTTTCTTAAATTTCATCTTTGAAGGAAGAGGAAAGAAGAGTGTGAAGAAGAAAACTCAGACCTGATCTGATTCTAAAGGTTTCTATCTCTGGCCACAAATACGTCTTCACTGGCCTCACTCAAACACGTTGCCACTTCCTCTCTAACCAAATGCCCAGTGACCACCAGGAATATCCAGGTGGACTCAGCCCATAAGTGTATAAAATTTCATGGATTTATTCCTGATATATAAAACCAGTGTAATAGAAAAGTGACTGCTTTCCCAAAGGGATTCTTTTGTCAATACAACTTTTCATGAGAAAAATCTTTAAAAAAAAAAAAGAAAAAGAAAAAACTTAAAAAGTACTGAGCATCAAGAAATCAAAAATGAACTTTACATTGGATTCCAAATTCTATAATGTTGAGGTAAAGAGATTCCCCTTGGACTCAGAGTAGTCCAGAATAGACTGAATGAGGGCTGAAGGTCAGAGCTGTGATTGTAATTGTGATGGAACTTTCTAGAATCTTACATCTTTCCACAGATGATAGATTTGCAAAAGTAGCCATTATTGCAAATAACAGCAAGAGTAGGGAGTTAAATATGCCTCTGGTATGGTATATTTAAGTCAGATTATAACTGTGAAAGGCTGTGCCTGCTCTCCAAACAGGAAATAACAGAGAACGAGACATTTAAGGGTAATTTTCTACTCCAACTGTCTAGAGAGCAAATTTATAGATGCAAAGAAAAAAAAGCATGATTCTTTAAGACATTTGAAATTTTATTACATTTAGCACCATGTAAATTTCAAGAACAAAGGTATAGTGACTAAATGGCCTTTTGAATCTTTGTCAGGTATCTTTTTTCTAACCTGGCAGAAATGTAAAAAATCAACCTACCTCTTGCCCCTCTGACTAGAAAAACAAAAAAACAACACTGAGGAGGAGAACTACTCAGAAGACAGGTTGTATTTTAAGCTCTTAAACATTTCTTCAGGGATATTTGTTCCTGTTAAATGTCTGACCAAAGACACATAACCTGCCTGGGGCCTGGCTCCCCAACTCTCCCAGCCTGAATTTTCCAACTTACCGGCTGCATTGTGCTGGTGATACCAGATCAACTCAGGGATTGATTGAAACAGGTGCCTTTCAGCCACGTACCACCGTCCTGAGTCATTCCTTTTAATTTGATAATGCTTGACAGTAGCCTCCATATTTCTATAACCAATAAAATGTGAGTTCGTAAACAAGCAAAAGATCACTCTGGAACCAAGCCAATCATTAAGCAACAGGACTCGACTTCAAAACCCTGAGTCCTCACCACAGACTGAGAAGTAGATAGGGTTGCAATAAACAGGCGCCTCACCAACGCTGGGAGAACTCCGCGGCTACTCATTAGGGCCTTAGATTTAAATATAACTTCAGCCAAAGATGTCTAGGTGACAAGTCTAGTGCTCAAAAATGTACAGCTTGTAAAGGACACTTACAAGTATCTACTGAATCAGGTATCAGTCCAATGAATAAACAAATGCACTCTGAGAGATGTGAGACAAAGAAAGGAGGAAAACCAGCATAGGGTGTCTTGATGAGCAGGTTTGTTAATCCCTTTAGGAAGCCATGAGAGACTGTGGAACACACCTCGGAGTTGTCCCACTAAAGTGCAAAGGAGCTGAGGAATTTATCTCTTATTTCACATGGATGGAGGGTCACTCCTACAATGCTCTTAGTCACTTCCAGTTCACCCCCGGGGACCACGAGAACCCACAGGCAAAGAACGAAGCAAAAACAGGAAGCCTTCTGCATACAAGAGAGCTCTGTGTAGGTAAACCCTGGGGTTAACCAAGGGATATGAGGAAAACATCAGCTGAGTGTGCTACAACTAATCAAATCTCCTCACTTGATACTTGAGAAAAGGAGACGAGAGAGTGTAAGTAACTTATATTTAATATCACACACAGAGCTTCTTAGGGGATAAAATTAGTTGGGAACCAATTAGTTGTCCCAATATCCAGGCCAGCAATTTTCTATGTTAGGCTCTCACTTCCATTCTCTTTGTGATGGTGTCTCCTTAACAATGAATATCCTAGTGACTGTTATTTCTAAAGTGACCAAAATCACAATTGCTTACCTCTTATTTCTTATAAACACAGAAATGGTGTAGGACCCCAAATGTCTTGAATCTCTGACAATAAATGCACCTTCTTTAGACTGCAAAACAATTCATTCATTGTACATGTTTATTCCTTATTTGGAAGAAAGACAAATATCTCCATAATAAAAACTCAAGCTATACTGACTTACTATAGAAGGATGATATTGTTTTTATAAATACACACAATCTTATCTCTTAAATCCTTACAGATTTAGATGTCATACCTATAAAATAAAATTGGGATAAGAATCTGCAAAGTGTGAGCATTTTAAAAATTCACTCATGATTTTTCTAATACTGCATTTGACAACCTTGTACCCCACCATTTAGTTATTTTTGTATATTGATTAAGTAATAAATAAAAGAGCTGATGAATAAGAAGAACTCTGAGACAGATGGATAGGATTTTTCTTTACAGGAAAAGAAACAATATGGCAAGTGGGGGTGAGGGAGGCAGGGAGAAATACATCTGGGAAGCTGAGGAATGGGGAAAAAAGACCAGTTTATGACACAGATGGAAAGAGAATAGACTTGGAGAAGTCTTGAGAGAAGAGCAAGGAGAACCATTTTCTTTGCTCAAAGGATACAGGCTTCTTGGGTGGTACTAGAGGTAAAGAGCCCGCCTGCTGATGCAGGAGACACAAGAGATGCAGATTCGATCCCTGGGTTGGGAAGATCCTCTGGAGAAGGGCATGACAACCCACTCCAATATTCTTGCCTGGGAAACCCTATGGACAAAGGAGCCTGGTGGGCTACAGTCCATGGGGTTGCAGAGTTGTGCATGAGTGAAGTGACTTAGCATGCATACAGGGATGTGGGAGACACAGAGGGAGACATGGCAAGAGGGAAGAATATTATAGTAAGTTTGATGTTTACATTATCAGTTGGATCCCCAATGACATTCTTTAGGCTTTGGGTGGCTCAGATGGTAAAGAATCTGCCTGCAATGCGAGAGACCTAAGTTTGATCCCTGGGTCAGGAAGATTCCCTGGAGAAGGGAATGGCAACCCATTCCAGTATTCTTGCCTGGGAAATCCCATGGACAGAGGAGTCTGGCGGGCTATGGTCCATGGGGTTGCAAAGAGTCAGGCAGGACTTAGCAACTAACACTTTTGACATTCTTTGAAACTACTTTTAAATAAACTTGAAGGTTGGACTGCTTGGTTTGGTTTGTTTGATATCATTTTCTTAAAAAATCTTTACCTCTATCTATTAAGTTTGCTTACATTCATGAAGAGGAAAATATCTCAGATCTTGTCAAACTCATGAACATTTACACTTATGAAGTACTGGTGAGAATTGCACAACCCTAACAGCATGATGTGACCCCTCAAGAGGAACATAATACATTGTCTCCTCCTTCCAGATGCTTACCAAGAAACAAGCCTTTTCTGGTCAGAGTTTTTAACCAATGGTACAGTAGAGAGCCCAGAAATAAACCCATGCTTATATGGTCAAATAATCTGTGACCAAAAAAGGGCAAGAATACACAATGGGGGAAAGACAGCCTTTTCAATAAACTGCAATGGGAAAACTGGAACTGCAAAGGAATCAAACTGGGCTACTTTCTGCCACAACATATCAAAATAAACTCAAGGTGGATTAAAGACTTAAATGTAAGACCTGAAACCATCAAAGTCCTAGAAAAGAACATGGGAAGTATGCTCTCTAACATTGGTCTTAGCAACATTTTTTTTTTTTGGATTTGTCTTCTCAGGCAAAGGAAACAAGCAAAAATGAACAAGACTACCTTAAACTAAAAAGCTTCTATATAGTGAAAGAAATGACCAACAAAATGAAAAGGCAGCTTACTGAAGGGGAATAGATATTTACAAAAGATATATCTGATCAGGGGTTAGTACCTAAGATATACAAAGAACTCATACAACTCAACATCAAAAAACAAACAATTCTGTTTAAAAATGGGCAGAGGACCCGACAGACACTTTTCCAAAGAAGACCTATAGATGGCAAACAGACCCATGAAAAGATGTTCAACACCACTAATTATCAGGGAAATGCAAATCAAAACCACCTTGAGATATCACCTCACACCTGTTAGAAAGGCTGTCATCAAAGAGACAAGTGTTGCCAAGGATGTGGAGAAAAGAGAAACTTTGTGTACTCTTCGTTGGATTACAAATCGGTGCAGCCACTATGGAAAATAGCATGAAGATTCCTCAAATAGAACTACCACATGGTCCAGTAATTCTACTTCTGGGTATTCACCCAAAGAAACCAAAAACATTAATTTGAAAAGATACATGTTCATAGCAGCATTATTTACAATAGTCAAGATATGGAAGCAACCTAAGTGTCCATTGATAGATGAATGGATAAAGAAGACGTGGTATACATATACAATGGAATATTACTGAACAATAAAAAATAATGAAATCTTGCCATTTGTGACAATACGGACAGACCTAGGGAGAATCCCAGGCATGGCGGAGCCTGGTGGGCTGCTGTCTATGGGGTTGCACAGAGTCGGACCCAACTGAAGTGACTTAGTGGCGGCAGCAGCAGCAGAGGGTATTATGCTAAGTGAAATAAACCAGACCAAGAAGGACAAATACCATATGATCTCACCTATATGTATAATCTAAGAAACAAAGCAAACAAAACAAAAACAGACTCATAGATACAGAGAACAAATGGGTGGTTGCCTGATGGGAGGGGGTGGTAGGGAGCATGAACTAGGTGAAGGGGACTGAATTACAAACCTCCTGTTAGGAAATAAATAAGCCACAGGGATGTAACATACAACATAAGAAATATGGTCAATAATATTGTACTAATTTTGTATGGGGACTGCTGCTGTTGCTGCTAAGTCGCTTCAGTCGTGTCTGACTGTGTGACCCCATAGACGGCAGCCCACCAGGCTCCACCATCCCTGGGATTCTCCAGGCAAGAACACTGGAGTGGGGTGCCATTTCCTTCTCCAATGCATGAAAGTGAAAAGTGATTGTGAAATCATTCAGTTGTGTCCAACTCTTCGTGACCCCATGGACTGCAGCCTACCAGGCTCCTCCGTCCATGGGATTTTCCAGGCAAGAGTACTGGAGTGGGTTGCTATTGCCTTCTCCGGTATGGGGACAGATGGTGACTAGATTTACAGTGATCATTTCATAATGTATGCAAATATCAAATCACTATGCAGTACACCTGAAACTAATACAATGTTGTAAGTCAACCACGTTTCAGTGAAAAAGGAAATTCAAGTACAAATGAAAAGATCTAGAATATGGACACACTACTTATTAGGACCTCTGCTATATAGTTCAGGCAATACTCAGAAATAAATTCACAGTCTTATTATATCAATAAATGAGAAGAATACAGAATAAACATATCCAACTCAAGAAGTTAGGTTAAGAATTATAAAATAAACTCAGGTAAAGTAGAAGAAAAGAATTAATAAAAGCAAAAGCAGAAAATAATAAATTATAAAAACAAAAATATAACACAGACAGTAATCACATCTGTATTCAATAGTAACAGTATTCAAAGTATAGTAATACTATACTATAGTAAAGTAACAGTAATTCAGTCTGGTTGTCTAGGGAAAAACAATAAAATAGGTAACCTACTAGTTAACCTAATCAATAAACAGTGGAGGAAATCTATTAAAAATGTCACAAGGATTCAGAAAAAATTAAAGAATCTTCTTGGCTCTATATAATATATTTGAAAAGTTGAATAAAATGGAAAAATAGCTAGCAAAACATAAAATTTGTCAAAATTGATTCCAGGAAAGCTAGAAATCGTAATGGACCTAAAAAATTGAAAAATGGATAAGGTTTTAAAAGAGCTTCAACATTAGAAAGCACTACTGTTATACTGTGATGTTACTAAATCTTAAAAAAAATGGTAGATAGATCAATTAAATAATTCCAGAGCATATGAAAAGAAAAAATCTTCCAAATCATACAAAGTAGACTCAATACCCACACAGTAACACAGTAGAGACTGCACAAAAGGGGGAACTACCAACCAGTCTGCATGCATATCAGTGCGAAGCCCTGACTAAATACTAACAGACCGGATCCAGTAGCACAACAACAGAATAATATTAGGAATTTTATTAATATGATTCAAAATTTAATAGATCTGAGAAGAAAAATCTCACAAAAATCTCCATAGATGTTGAAGAAGCACTTAATTTCAATTCCTATTATCAAGTTTTTTTAAATTCTTTATAAAATGGGAATATATATATATATATATATTATTTAACACAATAGCCCTTATTTACTTTGGTCCCAAGTCCAGCATCATGCTTTATGTGGAAATCATTCTAACTAAAATTAGGAAAAAAGAAATGCCCACTGTCAGCACTGGTATTTAAAACTGTTTTGAGAAACTAGCCAGTGTCATTAAATGAAGCAGAAATTAGAACCCTGAAATAAAATTGTAAAAGAGGGTTGAAATAATCTGTTTGCTACTGCTAAGATTACATACCTAAACCTAAGAGCATCAACTGAAAAACTACTACAAAACAGTATTTGAGCCACACTCGCCCTCTATGATGGCCCATACTCTGTCTGTGGAGTGTGTTTCTCTCTAAATAAATCCACTTCTTACCTATCAAAAAAAAAAAAAGCTTTGAATTCATTAAAGTCATCAGTTACAAAATTAATTCATAGAAATCAAGAGATTTCAAAAGTAAAAATAAAAAGATATGCCCATTTATCATAGAAACAAAAAGATAAATTATTTTAATATAAATTAAAAAATACATGTGCAAGAGTTAAATTCTTAACTTAAAATTCTTAAAATTCTCCTGAAAAATATAAAAGCATTTGCTTTTTCTAATTAGGTCTTTCATCCATCTAATATCAACTTTTGCTTGAGGTTTGGGTCTAATTTTGATTTTTTTCTATGTGAATAATTAATATATAGGTCCTGGAACAAACTGGTCCCCAAATCACACTGATTTGTAATGCATAAATAATTTTCCCTAAATTAATCTGTAAATTTAATGCAAACAACAGGAAGGTTTCTTAAACAAGGAGAATTAATTCTGAAGTTCATACAGACAAAACATGTATTTTCAGAAAGTTTCTTAAACAGACAGACCAGAGGAGGCGTCATGTCTAAAACAGGAAAATGCACTTTGTTGCACAGCAGGAACTAGCACAGCATTGTAAAGCGGCTCTGAATCAAGTTTAAAAATAAGTGAGTTAAAAAATTGGCGACTGTATCAATATCTCCAGTGGTAAGATAACTGGGTGCCACCTAGTCCTTGATTTCCCCAGCTACTAACCTCACATTTTCAAAGCTGCTACTATTAATAAAGCCCAGGTTTTAAAAACCGCATGTTGGAAATGACAATCTTGTTGATATGTTTATAGTGGCAGAATAAGATCATGAAAAGAATGCATATGATATCAAAATTAGTATGAAAATAGCCACATGCCCCTTAAATATGAAAAAGAGACCAATCATTTTTCACTGCAAATGCAGACTTCTGCTTCCCTTAAATATCACCAAGATCTCAGGGGAACATCTATGTACAACAACTCACTATAAAGTCAACAGGCTAGTCAAAACTAGGGCTTAATTATAATCCATGATGAGTGTACAGCAAATGGTATGTTCAAAACTTCCATTTACTTACTCAAAGTGGTCAAAGTGGAGAAGGCAATAATGTACTTTTTTCTCTTTCTTACAAGGGTAGATATGGTCTTTGTCAGGCTATTTTATGAAACTTTAACTAACCTTCAAGAAACAAATAATGTCTATCTGATATAAACAATTTCAGAGATTAGAAAAAGAGATTAAAAAACCCACATTCCAATTCATTTTATGATGCTAGGATAACATTTATACCAAAACCAGACAAAGAGAACAGAAAATTAGAAGCTGGGCTCACTTTGAACTTAACAGGAAAAATGCTAAATTGAGGAAAGTCAAACTAGCAATATATATTTTAAATGACTCATAACCAAATAAAATTTAAACCAGGAATAATTTTAAAAATAAAAATTGGAAAATATGTAAATTACACAAATATTTTAAGATATATAGGAAAAATATGTATGTATTTAAAACATCATACATACATTCTTCAGACAGATTAAAGTCCTAAATGTGAAAGCACATCTTTAAAACATTTAAAGAAAAATATAAAATTCCTTTATTACCTCAGAATAGAGAGGAATCTCTTACAGTAAATAAAACAAAACAAAAAGCAGATATCATAAAGAAAAATATCGAGAGATTTGACATTAACATTAAAAAATTTTTGTATACGACAATAGTCTAAGGTTCACAAAAAGCCAGAAATCCAAAAAATATCATTGCAACACATAATGCCCAAAGATTGGTATTCAGAATATATTTCTTAAGTACAACACATATTGATCAGTATAAAAAAACCAAACACATTATAGAAAAATGAGCAAAGGCTATTAACAGGCATGTAACAGCAGAGGCAGCACAACTGGTCAAAGACACATGGAAAGTTACTTCAATTGAACTGTTTACCAAGGAAATGTACATTTTAAAATACAGAGTTTTTTCACTCAATGAACTAGGGAAAAAAAATGTGAATCTACCCACTGTTAGTAAGAATGTGAGTGAGTGTTGATCACTCAGTTGTGTCTGACTCTTTGCAACCCCATGGTTATAGCCTGCCAGGCTCCTCTGCCCATGGGGTTTCCCAGGCAAGGATACTGGAACAAGTTGCCATGTCTTCCTCCAGGGGATCTTCCCAACCCAGGGATCGAACCCAGGTCTCCTGCATTACAGGCAGATCCCTTACCATCTGAGCCATGAGGAAAGTCCATGTAGGAAACCAGTTTTTTCACTCCCTGTAAGAGTATAAATTGGTCTAAGTACCTGAATCCTGATTTGAATACACAGTATCTAGTAATGTTAAATCTGCACATCTCCTCTGATCAGATGATTCCATTTTGGAGTGTATTTGAAAGAACCCCTTGCCCTTGTATACAAGATGACATGAACAAGGATATTCTTTGCAGCACTGTTTGTAAGAGCAAAAAATTAGAAATGATTAGAATGTTTATCTACAGTAAAATTGATACATTTTGATATAATGAAATAGTACACAATAGTTGAAGGTATGTGTTTGATCCATGTGTATGCCTAAAAATTAAATAGAAAATATACTGTTTGGTTAAAAAATCAACATACATGTGCTCTCCTTGACATCAAATATGAAAACACATAAACAAGCACTATACGTTGTTTATGCACATACATGTGATAAAAGTATAAACCCATGGACAAAATGGGAACACGCCCCTCTATTGTGGTTGCCTCTGAGAAGTAAGGACCAAAAAGATAAGGGAGAGGGTGGGCCTCAACAGTTTCTGTAATGTCTTATTTTATTACAGAATGTTACGATCAGTGCTACTATTTGTGATATCTGGGTTGTGGGTATGGAGGTTTTTGCCACAAAATGCCACATTTACTCTTGGTAGGGAGGTCAGATCCTCACCCTATTCTGGCTTCCTCTCAGATGCAGAACCTCATGTAGAACCCTCTCAGCCCAGTGATTCGGTCCATATTGCCTGTGATAAGCTTGCTTTCCGTGGACCGAATGGTCCACTTCCTTCCTCCAGTGTTGCCTGCCTCTCACCACATCTTCCTTGTCCGTTCTGAACCAACTAACACATAACGTCACCATGCCGGGCAGGTATCACATTTGCCGCCATGCTCCCTTTTCTTGTAGCCAACAAGACCCGGCCAGACCTCCAGCCTCCATCCCTACCAGCCCCTGAGAGGCTTGTGTTCCTCGTACTCAGCCTATCCCCCAAATACTAACTGGATCTTCCCTGTGTCATAGGTCATTACTGGCACTGAGTTTTGAGTTACAGAACTGACTTTTTTCTCACTCGTATTAGTAGATTTCCTCAACATCTGACATCAGGTCATAATGACACGCATACTTCTCAGCTACTTTCTAGTTTTGACTATTCATTTACCCACAGCTGATACCGTCAGTGGGTAATTTAAACTATACTCAGTTTTGTTCTGTTTTGACCTAAATGAGCAGTTTTGATCCAAGTGTGATATTCTGGCTGCTCCACTCTTCCTTCTGTTCCCAAGAATGAAGGTGTAGCTGCACGCACTTTTCTGTATCTGTGCTTTTTATGAGTCTAAGCTGAGCTCAGGAGGACAGAGTATCTCTTGGACTGACATTGATGCAAATGTATACAGGCAGTTCAAATAGAGACCCTTCTGGCAGAATGCACTTTGCAGTGAATGAAGCAGTTTTGGTATGTTAGAGATGAAATCATTTCAGGAGAAAGATATGTGAAATTGTGGTGAAAATCAGTGGAAAACATGATTTGATACAAATTAATCTAGTTTATAATTTAAGAGAAAATGTAGTAGCAGTGAAGTTATAACAATATTTTACAACTAAAAAAACATCAGGAAGTGATAAAACACTTTAGCTGAGTATTTATAATTTATCCCTCTCAGAAATTTTGAAATTCCACAAAATTATTTATAAATAAATTACCTCTTGTCTCAAAAGATGTTCTGCCTGATTTCTAGTAATATTCCTATGGTACCACCTGTAAAAGCAATAAAAATAATTTTTAAATGTTATATATCATTTATTTCCAGAAAAAAACCTGTTCCATTTCCTTCATTTTAAAAAACACACTCCAGAACTAATTTTATAAATGGACTGATTAATTCACATAAACAATAATGTACTATAATAATATATCAATTGATTTAACACAGTTATATTAATTACAAGCCAGTATCTCATTTTTCTACCATATTTCAATTCAACTTTCTGAAACACACTTGGTTTAACACACTTAATTTTGAATGGTTTAACTTCCTGAAAATTTCCACGAAATGTATGTGGTTAAAAAGTCATCATCTTCGATAAACACTTTCCTGAGCTTTGGTTAAACCCCAACTAAAACATACCCATTTCTTTCCCCTCAGGAATATCTCATTTTCGTGCTTTTACATGTGCTGTTACCTTTCCAAACTTAAAACCCAGGCTGGTTTGTCTGATTCTTCTAAATATGTTGTTGCTGTTTAGTTGTAAGTCACGTCCGACTCTTTTGCGACCCCATGGACTGTAGCTCGCCAGACTACTCTGTCCTTGGGATTTCCCAGGCGAGAATACTGGAGTGGGTTGCCATTTCCTTCTCCCAGGGATCTTCCGAGTCAGAGGCCGACTCACATCTCCTGCACTGGCAGGCAGATTCTTTACCACCGAGCCACCAGGGAAGCTCCAGAGTATGTCACTTTGTAGTAAAATCAGTAATTTAACAGAGTAAATGGAGCAACCCTAACCCTAACCCTAACCATCCCACACCCTCCTGGGCCTCATATTCTCATTCTTCCCTCAACTCACTAAACTTCCACCACTTTGGGATTCTTTCCTGGCTGAAATTCACCAAGCCCTTTTTTGCCTCCAGCCTTCCTGTTATCTCTGCATGAAACACGTCATTAAATGACCTTAAAATATCAGAGGTTCACACAGTAATCATAATTAATGAACACTGTAATTTAAACATAAGGTTTTGGGACTTCCCTGGAAGTTCAGTGGTTAAAACTTCATCTTGCAATACAAGGGGTATGTGGGTTGTTTCTTGATCCAGGAGCTAAGATCTCATATATCTCAGGGCCAAAAGACCAAAAACAAAGCAGAAACAATACTGTAACAAATTCAGTAAAGATTTTCTTTTAATGAAAAAAAAAGTGGTCCATATAAAAAATATTTAATAAAAATTAAAAAAAAATTTAAAATAAACAAACATGGTTTGATGTGACAGCACCTAAGCAGTAAGCAAAGGTTGTACAGGAAAGAGAGAGGAAACAACGGTAGAACAATGGAGAGGAAAAGAAAAATGGAAATACTTGCATTTCAAAATAAGATTTTAAAAAGAAGTTAATGCAATATTACCAGAAATACTATGTTTGTGGACAGCGGAAGAAAGGGTGTGTGTATAACCAGGTATTAAGTCAAGTGGGGGAGCCCATTGGTGGCTGAATGAGACTCATATCTGCCTGGGGCAATGGAACCTATCTCCTCATGTGGACTTCCCCTAACCTTCTATAATAGAAAGCTGCCACTAACTAGCATGGCCAGGCTTTTAAAATATTAATATTAATGTGCTCAAATTGAAAATGGTCTTTTAAAAAGATGAACCACAGACGACAGGGTCGATGATTACAGATGATTCTAGTCAAAGTCATATAACTACTTATTGCTAATAGGAACAAGAGTAACTGTGAATTTAAACTGTGCCTATCATTCAATACTTGTTAATGAATATTCACATTGTGAGAGGGAATTTCAAGATGAGTCTGAGACCTCTTGCTGTACAAAGAAGAAATTCTTTCAAAATAAATGAGGCAGAGTTAAATTCACAGGGGACCAGTTTAAAGAGGCCCCCATACTGGCTAAGTTATGAAATATTGGTGCTAAAAAGAGACTAATGATTATAGCTCACTGAAATAGACTGAAGTTGTGAAAAGAGAAGACTGCATAATGACATTCAAAAAGGGAGGAATTAACATAAACCCATCTTTTTCTAAATAATGTTTCTTTACCTGCTATCATGTTGTTATTAATTCTGTTGCTTTGTACTTATTATAGTGATAAATAAACTATATTAATTGTGATTAAATATAAATTAAAATCCATCCATGTGGAAGTCATTCTCAGAATGACTTCAAAGTAGTAACAAAAGAACCAGATAGAAGTATATGATGAATTTAAGATCAATTAAAATAAGGCAGAATTCCATCTGTATTATGATAATGATAAGTAAAAGGCAGAAAAGGGATAAATGTAATTTAGAGAAGGTTGAGGCATGGTATTTCAGAATTTCAACTATTTAAATCAGATGATAAAAAGTAGAAGAGTTTTTTGTTTTGTTTTGTGTTTTTCAAATAGGTAAGGCTGCAACTTCTTTATTGAGACAACACTGATTACAAAACTAATATTGAATGTCAGTAGAAGCCCCAATACACAGGACTGGGGTGGGGATTTTATTAATACATTTTTAAAAATCTACTACATCTAACTGTGGTTGAGTACAACCATCACATATGGAACATATATGTAAGCCTCCCATGTGCCAGTCTTAGATTTATAATAAGTAAAGAACAGTATTGTGGCTTTGAGTTTTAGACCTGGAAACCCTATTAGATCTGAGAAGGTTAATTTGCTTCACTTGGTGACTTTCTGACCCTGAGACTATTAAGCATTTAGTGTAGAGCAAATGAGATAAATCAGACTATATATCCATAGCGCAGGATAATCAATGTCTGCTATTTGAAATATTAGATATATCAAAAATTTTAAGAGAATCTGGCATGTCAGGTTTTTGTCTTTGCTTTAAGATTTATAACTAATCTTCAAGTTGTTTACCAGCTGAGCCACAAAGGAAGTCCCTGATAGCTCAGTTGGTAAAGAATATGCCTGTAATACAGGAGACCCCAGTTCAATTCCTGGGTGGGGAAGATCTAATGGAAAAGGGATAGGCTACCCACTCCAGTATTCTTGGGCTTCCCTGAGACCTGGGTTTGATACCTGGGTTGGGAAGATCCTCCAGAGTAAGGAAAAGGCTACCCACTCCAGTATTCTGGCCTAGAGAATTCCATGGATTGTAAAGAGTTGGACACAACTGAGCGACTTCCACGTCACACTTCAACTTGATATTTGAAGTTTGAGAATAAGTAATTTTTAAAATGGTTAAAAGAACTCAATTCACATTATGTTTAATTAAATATTTATGTTTAATTTATTACATTTCCAGGATCATGTAAGGACTTACAAGGGGCTATTACAATTGCAAATTTGCCCTGTCGGGTATGTTCTTTATAAAGAAAACTGAATTTATTCAGTTTATTAATGCAAGTTAAATGTTTCAGGAAACTTAATTAACTGAATTTGTAAATGATGGATTGTTTAAGGACATTTTTATGTCGAGTATGAATTTAGGTGATTGTTCTTGTTTATTAGATTTATAAATAGTAGATCAAGATTTAAAAGTTCAATTTGAAGGCTTACTAAAAACAAAGTTTTTTCATTGTAATGTTGATAATTTGGATATTAATTTCAAACCAAAGTAGCCATAAACATTTCTCTGTATAAAGGTTCCCCAGAGATGTCAGAAGCCCATGTGGACAGCATTCCTTCTTCCATCAGCCCCCTATCTCCCTTCTTTCTCCTTTAGGCTTCAAGTAATGTCCTCAGAAAGGTCTTCCCCACTCAACATGCTCATTTAAATTATATTCCCTCCCCTCTTGTTTCCTTCCCGTGCCCCATACTATTCCTTCAAAACACCACATTCTAAAATGATGTGTCTATTTGTGAATTCAGGGTTACTTAATGTGTATTTCCTTGTGAAGCTGTAAGTTCCCTGAAAACCAGGACTCCTTCTGTGTATTCTGTATTATGTTTCCACTGCTTACAACAGTTAACATCTAATATTATCCTAAGTGCATAATGACAAAGATCAAACAAATGAAGTGGAGGACTGAAGTAACTCTGAAAGTAGTGTACCAGTTACACTAGGCAAGGTGGACAAAACTGTAAATGTCTTTCTTGTTTCACAGTTCAAGGAAATAATCATAACTTCTAGAATGTATTGAAGAGCTACTATGTATTGAATGAGACAGGCATTATTATCCCCAGGGTTCAGATAATTCAGAGGTTTAAAAACATTAGGTCACTTTTCTCAGAGCTGAACCATTAGTCAGGGGTGATGCCAGGATTCGAACCCAGATTTCTCTGATTTCTAAGCCCATACTACTGCACTTCAATATGGGACAGTAATTTCTGTACAGTCAGTAGAATGGTGCTTGGCATATAGTAAGTGGTTGATTAATTTTAGTGATTTATATTGATGATCTATATTTTAATAACCTTCTTGAAACCATAATAAAGTTAAAAATTGGTCTTTTCATAATTAGAGTCATTATAAAAGGAGACTTACAGAAACATAAATCCAGGCTAAGGAAATGAGATGATTATCTAACTTCAGAGCAATTTAATTTGTGATCCAGTATCTGCAGTATAAACAAGTTGTTAAAGCCAGATGCTAAGCCTGGTTTAAACAGGGGAAGCAACAAGCACATCGATTCATAACAGAAGGAAGAAAAGTAGCCCTGCTGATTATGGAGCGTCCACTGCTAACCACCAGGCACTGTGTTAGGTGCCTTCACACAGGTCTCCTTTAATCTCCAGGAAAATCCAAACTGAAGTTAGAATATGGTGATAAAACCATCTTATTTTTCTGGTTTTTCTTAGCAGGAGATTTTCAAACAAAATTTTCCCTGACTTGGCCTTCAAAGAGACCTGTTTGTGCCGAGCAGCTTCAGCTGGGGCTAGTGGTGAGTTCCCCTCGCCCAGTCCACACCCCCAACTCCATGCATGGGGCATGCCTGAGCAACTGTGGAGGGTTGTGGGGCTGTTTGCTAAGGAAGGTGGGGTCAGACACCTGGGGACTTTGAGTGGAGACGGGAATTTCAGGGCAGAGCTAAATGACGCAGGTCAAGAGATGGGGTTATGACAAGCTAAGCACAGGAGAGGAAGAGAGAAGAGGCACTGTGATGGAGCTGAGGACAGAGACTTGATGAAGGAGAACAGAAACAGCCTGCAGAAAGTTCTGGTAAGGTTATGGGTGTTTTTGGTGACGCATGTGCTGAGTCTGCAGTTTCCCAGGTGGCACTAGTGGTAAAGAACCTGCCTGCCAATGCAGGAGATGTAATAGATGCAGGTTCTATCCCTGGGTTGGGAAGATTTCCTGGAGGAGGGCATGGCAACCCACTAAGGTATTCTTGCCTGGAGAATCCCATGAACAGAGGAGCTTGGCGGGCTAAAGTTCATAGGGTCGCACAAAGTCAGACATGATTGAAGCAACGTGGCAGGCAGGCAGTCAGGCAGGCAGGCAGGCTGAGTCTGGCCTACAGATGGGCTTCAATGAGCAGCAGGGCAGTCCAAGGCTGAGTTCTCTTTCAATTTGCCTGGTTCTCAGGGAAGTACCTGTTCTAATGCCTGAACTCACATCACCTATTACAACCTACTGGAACGTATACTCATTGTAAAACCAGTATCTAAGTGGGGGAAGGGCACTCAAGTGCTCAAACTGCAAACCTAAATTTATAAAAGACTAGGAAATCAACTCTGAATACTCTTTGGAAGGACTGATGCTGAAGTTCCAATACTTTGGCTACCTGATGCGAACAGCTGATTCATTGGAAAAGACTGTGATGCTGGGAAAGATTGAAGGCAGGAGGAGAAGGGGGCAACAGAGGATGAGATGGTTGGATGGCATCACCCGTTCAATGGACATGAACTTGGGCAAAGTCCGGGAGATGGTGAGGGACAGGAAAGCCTGCCAAGCTGCAATCCCAGGGCTCCCGAAGAGTCGGACGTGACTTGGTAACTGTACAACAAGGACCACTCCTAGCCCTGTCACTCTCTATCTATACATTAATATCTCTACCTTAGTTTCTGATCTGCAGATTGAGGGGTTAAATAGTGATTGCTAATGTTCCTATTTTCTAAATATGTTAATATAGTGTAACAAGAATGCATTTCTAAGCAAAACTCTAGTGAACATATCAAAAGTTCTTCTGAACTATAACATTAGCCTATTTCTCATCTTCAGTGATTTCTAAACACTTCAAAACATGAGTCAAACTATAGTAATATGTCTGTATATTAAGTCTAACTTCATTAATGAACAATTCATGTCATTTTTTATTTTTATTTTTTATTTTTGGTCAAGTTGCACAGTCTAGATCTTAGTTCCCCAACCAAGGATGGAACCCATGCCTCCTGCAGTGGAAGTATAGAGTTTTAACCACTGGACCACCAGGGAAGTCCCTATTTTTTATTTTTATTTTTTTTTAAATCTCCATTTTTTAAATAATAACTTTTCCATTTAGGACATGCAGTAAAACAGGTGCAAGATGAGTGTTTGGTTTCTTGTAGTCACTGTTAAAATTTTCTTTAACTGGCCATACAAAACAACCAAAAAAGTAATTTTAAGAAAAAGAAGTTTCTGAACCAGCCATTATTAAGATCAAAAATCTCTTAAGCCAAAGCTGCCAAATGTGTTACTTTCTTTTCCCTTTTCAGACTCAAAACAGTATGTATACTGATAAGTTACCCAAATGTACCTGATTTTTATAGATTAACCATGGGACATATTTTGGAGGACACTTACTCATATATTTCTAAATTAGTTGGTTTGTTTTCGGTCACATAGTTGCTTGGAATTAAGCCTTCATTCCTACAAAGACAAAGCAAAAATAAAAATTTTGGCACATCTGTGGTATTATTGTGGCAAAGACCCCTTTAAAAAACCTCAAGGATGCAGAGGAAAATCAAGTTAATTTGACTAAATTGTTGAAAGAAGAAAAAAATTTTTTCATTTCAACATTCAACTAAAATCTTTGCACAACAAATACTGTTTCTGATGTTTAACGTTAGTAGTTTAAGATGTTTTCTGACACAGATATCTTTGCAAATAGGAAAAGAGCCACTGAACATGATCACTGGGACATCATAGTAACTAGATTAAAAACATATCAATTGCAAAGATATTGACTGAATTATTTTTAATTGCTGCAGAGCATCCCACAGAATAGATATTCTAGTTTAGCCATGCCTCTATTACAACAAAGCTGTAAAGAAACACTTGAATATGCCTTCTTGTCTACAAGTAAGAGTATTTCTCTAAGACAGATACAAAGCAGGGAAAAGGCTGCGTTGCTGATCAAGTGCATCTCTTCAGCAGATACAGCTATTGAAGGGCAGCAATTTTCACACTTATCAACAGGGGAGGAGTTTCTCTTTTCCTATAACTTCATCAACAAAATCTGAAATTTAAAATTATGAAAGATCTCTAAGACATATTATTGAAGAATACAAGCAAGTTGCAGAGCAACACATATAGTATAGTCAGATTTAAGTAAATTAAATCTTCAGACAATACCATATTTTTAATACATCCCAGAAAGTGCATTGAAAGTGATCTGGACGGGAAGATCATTGAAATGAATCACTAAATGAATAATGGTGCTTACTTTTGGGAAAGAGTCTGGGTTTGGAGGTGTGGCAACACAGAATTTGGGCACTATTTATCATGTTTCAATATTATTTTTTTAAAAACCTATATTCACTTATTAACTTTGAAGTTAAAAATTGGTGCTGTTTCTCTTTAAGTCTGAGTCATGACAACACACCACCTGCAAGGGTAGTTAATGATACAGCCCTGAACCTACTAACGTACATGATCACTGGGACATCATTCCTCTTTACCCACTGAAAAGTCTGCAGCATATGTTGAGTCTTAATTAAGAACTGGTAAATGAGCCAAATCAATAGGAAAACATAAAGAAAGAGGTTTGTATGTACTTCGAATGCTTAGGTATTTATAACCTCAAAATCTTGATAAGGATCAGAAATCAAGGCCAGAATTCTCTCCCAGAAAGTAAACATACCCCTCAGAATTCTTTTCTACCCAGGACTTCAGCCTAGAATTAACAATCTATTGCAACTGGTACAAAGAAGTCTTTCTATATCCCAGGGCCTTTTCCCCTAATTTCATTCAGAAACTACTGTAATGTTTACTTCCATTGTAGAAATATGAAAATGAGTAATACACTTTTTCTGTTTCTATCTTAGAGCTTAATAGGAAAAAAAATTAAATTGCCAAAAAACCAAAGCATAAATTAGAATAAGAACTTGTATGGTAGAAACTAGTATTCTTATTTACAAATAAAATTCATTAAAAACAGAACTATCATATGATCCACCAATTTCACCTCTGGGCATTTATCTGAAGAAAATGAAAACACTAACTTAAAAAGGTACATGCACCCCCATGTTCACTGTAACACTATTTATAATAGCCAAGATATGGAAACAACCAAGTGTCCACTGATGGAAGAATTGATAAAGAAAATGTGCTACATATGAAATATGATTCACCCACAAAAAGAAAAAAATTTTTGTCATTTGCAACAACACAGATGGATCTTGACAGCACTATACCAAGTGAAATAAAGACAAAAACCATGTTATCTCACTTACATGTGAAATCTTTTAAAAAAATGAAAAATTGGAACAAAACAAGCTCAAGGTACAAAGAATAGACTGGCGGCTGCCGGAAGCAAGGGTGGTTGTAGAGCGATAAAATGGGTGAAGGGGATCAAAAGGTATAAACTTCCAGTTACAAAATAAATGAGGCTTGGGGATATGATGTATAGAAATGTGACGAGTTAATAGTACTGTATTGCATGTTTTAATTCCACAGTGATAACAGAACAGACTTCTGTAAGGTTTTGATACATTTAGACAATGAAATTTTTGGACCTGGTCTTATGTCCCTGAATATGTTCCAGTATCTCCTAGTTTATTGTCTATCAATTCAGTTCAGTAGCTCAGTCATGTCCGACTCTTTGCAACCCCATGGACTGTAGCACGTTAGGCTTCCCTGTCCATCACCAACACCCAGAACTTGCTCAAACTCATGTCCATCAAGTCAGTGATGCCATCCAACCATCTCATTCTCTGTTGTTCCCTTCTCCTCCTGCCTTCAATCTTTCCCAGCATCAGGGTCTTTTCCAATCAGTCAGTTCTTCAAATCAGGTGGCCAAAGTATTGGAGTTTCAGCTTCAGCATTAGTCCTTCCAATGAATATTCAGGACTGATTTCCTTTAGGATTGACTGGTTGGATCTACTTGCAGTCCAAGGGATTTTCAAGAGTCTTCTCCAACACCACAGTTCAAAAACATCAATTCTTCAGCGCTCAGCTTTCTTTAGAGTCCAGCTCTCACATCCATACCTGACTACTGAAAAAACCATAGCTTTGACTAGATGGATCTTTGTTGGCAAAGTAATGTCTCTGCTTTTTAATATGCTGTTTAGGTTGGTCATAGCTTTTCTTCCAAGGAGCAAGTGTCTTTTAATTTCATGGCAGAAGTCACCATCTGCAGTGATTTTGGAGCCCCCCAAAATAAAGTCTCTTACTATTTCCATTGTTTCCTCATCTAATGGCCATAAAGTGATTAGGACTGGATGCCATGATCTTCATTTTCTGAGTGTTGAGTTTTAAGCCAACTTTTTCACTCTCCTCTTTCACTTTCATCAAGAGGCTTTTTAGTTCTTTTTACTGTCTATAGGAACTTGAATAGAATTTGCATCCTACTGTTGTGTGAAAGTTGTATAAATTTAAATTATGTTGAATTGATTCATAGTGCTTTTCAGGTCTACTATATCCTTCTGCTTCTCTGTATATTCATTCTATTAATTTTTGAGAGCTTGATATTGAAACTCTAAACATTTTAATTTACCTACTTTTAAAAAATTATAATATATATAATAGAACTATATATAACTTTGTTCTATATTTTCCAAGTCTCCTGTAATGTGTTACCTTATTTTCATAATTTAAAAATGTTAAAAAGCATTAAAAGTGAAAAATAGAACCATATTGCATGTCTGAAAGTTGCTAAGACAGTAAATCATAAAAGTTCCCATCACAAGGAAAAAGAAATTGTAACTAGGTATGCTGCCAAATGTTAACTAGACTTGTAGTGATTATTTCACAATAAATGCAAAGAGCAAATCATTATGTTGTACACCTGCAACTAATATAATGTTCTATGTCAATTATACCTGAGAAGAAAGAAAGAAAGGGAAAACAGAGGAAGGAAGGGAAGGAGGGAGGGAGAAAAGAAGGAAGGAGCGAGGCAGAAAGGAAGGAAGGAAGGGAAACAGAGAGGGTAAGTAATTTGCCCAAAAACACACAGCAGCGTGTGGCTACATAAGGATATAAAGACACATGTATCTAGTTTGGAGAGTCTGCCTGAAATAACATTCTGCCTGAAATGCCCATTCATACAGATGGAGAGGTGTGGGAACAGCTTCTGTTTCATTTACAAGGGAGAGTTATAAACCTTGAGAAAATAAACAGAGTCTATTTCTCTAATAAACTAAACAGAATCCATGTCACACTTAGGAAGTTTTTAGGGACTGAAAGAGGAACGATTTGGTAAAGACAAACCACCAGTCTTACCCCAAGCGGTCTCTTGCCTTCCACCAGTGAGGATCATACTTCTCCAAGATAAAATATTCCTCTGCTTTCTTTAAGGCTAAATCATAGGGCTCTCTGGGCAGGAAGTTGTAGAGTGCCTTAACGTGGATCTTCTCTTCAGAAGCCTCAGAGGGTGGGAGGGGAGGCAGTGGCTTGCGTTCTGATGGTTGCCCACGGCCCCTGTTGGACTGTGAAAAGCTAAGGAGTGAGCTGCGGTACTATTGCTTAAGTGCTCTAAGCTAAGAAAGAATGGGGTGGAGAGTATCTGCCTGCCGCCTTGCTTCTCCCAGCTTGCTGCGGTAAAGCAGAAGCCCGGGTGGTATAACTGTAGGAAATGACTAACTACAAAACTATTTTCAGATCCAGCAACACACTCACCATTTTGTAAATTCTCAAGATCATAAATTCTCTTGCCAGCATGGCACTGAATATTTTTCATGTCATAATTCTTAAAAATTTATTTCCTCCTTAATAATTTCACTTTAAGGATTTTTCTCCTTCAGAAAAAGGAGGAAAAAAAAAAAAGAAGCTTTTCCCTTTAATATGCTGTAAGCTTGTGTTTGGGCTTATCAACTTCCCAAGAAAACTTATTTTTTAACACTGAACTGAAAATTAATCCCGGCCTCAAAATGGTGATAGCCAGAAGGCATTTTTCCCCCAGTTTCAAATTCTGCCAAAATATTGCAGAATAGGCCATTTTAACTGGTCTTTTTTCCTTTCCCTGTCTTCTAGGCTGTTGATTCACTAAAAGTTTACTGAGAACTTATTATGTGCCAAGCATGACATTAGGTCTGGGCAGGGTAGCAAGTGGTCCCTCACGAAGCACAGACCCTAAAACTGGCACCTTCCTCCACCCGCCTTCCTCCCCATCAAAATGATACTCACTTGCTTCTTATTTGGCAATTCACTGAACCAGGATGGGCGACGCTGTGTGTATTTTTCTGAAAGTTCTTCATCTTTGTTAAGGCTTATTTGTGTCCTCACTTGTCTGACATTGAAAAATAATCACGTTACAAAGGATTATTTTACTCTTACCTATAAATCCACTAGATTATATAAACAAGCCAGTAGTAAAGTCTCCTTCCTATTTTTATTTAGAAGACTTCCTAACTCCATTTCTGTGGGCAAGGTACTCTGGGACCTCTCAGAACTTTATTTTACTTTTTTTAATCTAGGACTAGAGACACTAAGAGCATATAGAGTTGTTATGAATAATAAAATTGAGAAAAATACATGTCACGTGGGCAACGGAGTCTGGAGAATATTAAGGGCATACAATTACAATCACGATAATGAAGACCTTACTCTGCGTCAGGCACAGTGTTGAACATTTCACATGCATCGCCTCATTTGAAAGTATCTATTGCTAAAAAGTAGACATGGTGTAGCGATTAAGAACATGAGTTTGGATCCCAGATCTACCATTTTTATAGTGTGGCCTTGGGCAATGTAACCTCCCTAGGCCTCCATTTCTTCATCTGTATAATGGGGATTGAAAAAACAAACAAATAAAAAGGGTGGTTTTGAGAGTTACTTGGGCTAAAAAATGTCAACTTTTCAGCACAGTCTGACATATAGGACTCCCATTAAACGGTGGCTGTTACTATTATCATGGCACCCTGGATTTTTATCTTTATATATCATTTACTGGGCACCAAAGTATAAAACACATTGGTAGTTTCAGGGAGAACCTCAAATAAGACAAGATTCTTGCCCTTAAAAGGTAAAAATTACAGAATGAGACACAGACACATGAATAGATCGTGTGAAACAAATATTAAATAGAGAACCAGGCTGCATGCTCAGGGAACACAATGGAAGGAGCAAATAAGTCCAAGAGGATCGAGAAAGGACCATGGACCTGACACGTGACCGATCGCTAGCTTTAAATGAATGGCCATTCAACAGGGAGAAAATGGGAGTTTCCCAGGCAGAAGAACAGCAGATTCAAAGAGACGTGGAGATTCCACCCGAGAAGTTGCCCTCGGACTCACCGCTTCTGCATGGAACAGCAACAGCAGCAGCAGAAAATCGACTGGATGGTGTTATCTGAAAAGCAGATCATCTTCAGCTGTTAGGAAGACAGGAGTCCATGATATTGGAAAGAGGAGGCTGCTGGCACTGTTCCAAGGGAGGAAATCTCTGAGGGCATGGGTGATAGAAAGTATCCTATTAATAAAGCACATGCAAACCTTTACCATGCCCTTCTTCACTAGTAGAAGATGAAAGATTGTCACTAACTTGAAAATAAGTTACTGGTACCCTGGCCACTGTGGTTTCCTTTCTCAGGCTCTTGTCTCTGGGTCTGGTTTCACACATTTCCTTAGTGAATGATAAATGACCGCTGTATTCTACTTTACCTTGATCAGGGCTGATGTTGGCTGACAAATGTACCAAAGAATATGATTCCGAAAACAACATTCTCCTAGGGAATCTGCTAGTAGGGATTTTAAATTAGGTCCATCACATTCCTTCAAATATATTTTAAAATATATTTATATAAAGTAATAGAAATATACTAAATATATTTATAATATTATGTAATATATAATAATATAATTTAGCATGTTTATTCTATTTTTATATTTTGTGTATAAAAATACATTTACCTTTTTGGATCTCAAACTTTCTATGGATTAGGTTCAAACAAACTGAATATTTAAAGAAAGCACTAACTACTTAGTAAATCTGGGTCATTCTTACACTTCTTTTGTCAAGCTTAATCTTTATTTGTTAGATTATTTGCCTATTTTCAAATCATAAATAAATTCTGAATTTATCAAAAGCTGTTTTATGTTCATAGAACCTACATTTCACAACAGCTCTTTCTCATACTGGCCCCTGAAAATGAAGTATTATTGAGAAAGCAGAGTACATTAGCTTTGAGGTTAGAAAGGGCTGCATATGATTTCTAGCTGGAGGTGGGTGGGGTGCTGACCACATCTGGAATAAGTCCCTTTACTTCTCTAAGTCATTGTTTTCCTATCTGTAAAAACAAGAAAATCATACCTATCCCCTATGAGAAGCCTTAGGGAGCAGAGATTAACCTCCACCTTTGTGGGTTTGGGCAAGCTACTTAACTTTTTGTGCTTAAGTTTCCTCATCTGTAAAATGGGAATAATAGGATACTTGGCATGTAAGGCTACTGTGAGGATTAATTGAATGAGCTCATACACAACACCTAGAACAATGCCAGGTATATAGTAAGAGGGCAATCAAGATCTGTTATCATTACAGTGTTGTTGAAAAGATTAAATTAGATATTTTCTCTAAAGTAAAGTTTCTCTCCTGGAACATAGAAGAGGGAAGGATACAAGCAGAAGACACGCAGTACAATCTACCCCTCAGCATCCACTCTGTGCCCCCAGAACACAGGATACAATGGGGCCCCATCAGCGACCATATTATCACCAGGTGATGTCAATTTGATCACACTCCCACCTAAAACCTATTACCTTAACCACCATTAGGATTCTTACATCAGATAGAGAAAGAAACAAGGTGAAAACAAGAGTAACATAGGACATGGGTACTCCAATTCCCAGCTTTATAGCTATCCTGAGTCCTAAGTTGATCATAGATGCCCTCTGTCACCTTCCATTCCTTGGGCCCTCTTGCCTTTGCTTACACTTTGGTGGAAGGAGTTTTCATCTGCTGGAATTGTCCAAATGTTCATTCCTGTAGGATCTGGGTCCTCAGTTGGTCTTAATGGGGTTATTACAATTTTCTACAGACCAGGACTATTTTGAATATTAAGAAATGAAGCTAGTGGCTACTGTTGCCTCCTGAGGTGGCCCACACTCTGTGGAGTGTATTTCTCTCTAAATAAATCCACCTCTTATTCTCTCTAATAAATCTACCTCTTACCTATTATTTTGTCTCTCACTGAATTCTTTCTGTAATGAGACATTATGACTGAGCTTCATTAGGTCCTAAAACCAGATACTGAAACCCCCACCATATGGAAGAAGTTAACCTCATGCCACCCACAAGCCATGATCCCCAGACCTGTCGGAACCAGAAGTTGATGATGCTCACTCACCACGAGCCAATTAACAGCGTGTCCACGAGCTGAGCACGCCCTGCTCCTTGAACCATTCCTATAAAACTCATTACTGCCTCCAGGGGCGAGACAGTTTTGAGGACATTAGCCCACTGCAATCTAATCCCCTTTCCTGGCAAAGCAATAAAGCTATTCTTTTCTACTTCACCCCCAAAAAGGAAAGAAATGAACCTAGTATGTCCTCATTGTCAAGAATGAACCCAGTTTCTTCCTGGAAATTGGGATACTCATCTTGGATACATTGAGTCCTTTCTGTGCCCATCAACTCACCGATACCAAGAATCCCACAATGGTCAGAGGGCAGTCTTAGCTCCCAATATTCCCTGAAAAAAGGATTCTTCTTTTGGGCACTGGTATCTCCAAGCTCACCAAACCCAAAAGTCACAGGGAAAGAAAATAACAATATTCCAGTGGGTTATTAGTTGGTAAGAGGGGCCACTCCTATCTCTTCTCCCTCAGTTGCCAGACTCATGCATCCTAGCTTTATGAAGACATCACCACATTTGCTGCTGGTTTAAGACATTTGTATCCTATAGAACATCATTCCAACTTTGCAAGATGTTGTCTCCCAGATGTCATAGGAATTGAGGCTTTAGCAGGCCATTTAGCAACCAGAAGCCAGAGAGCTTGGAAGCATGTTGAACTAAGCCCTACAGATTACTTTTCCAGGAGAAGAAGGAATACCAAGAAGCCAAACTCACTAAGCCACCATGGAGGCTGGTTCCACATTTAACTCCTGCTCGTCATCCTTCCAGGATAGAACAGGGTGAATAAGAATAAAGAGGACACCCAGATAGTAATCAGTTATATATTGTTTCCTTTTCCTTTCACCGAAGTTGACCTTCAAAACCTAGATTCATGTATTAGTTACATGTCTTTCTTTGATTTGTACACTGCCATTATTCTGTCTTTGGGCTATAGACACCTTGGGGGTCCAGTGGCAAACATCTCATTTCTATCAGGCAAAGATTCACCTTTACCCGTCTGATTTAGTAGATTTCTTCCTTAGCCAAGAAACCATCTGTTCTCTATCCCAAAGTTGATTTCTGGAGACCCAAATAGAGTCCCTCTGAAATTTGCTCTACACTGTGTATTATTAGGCTTTTGGGTCTCAACTGCTTCTGTCAGTTTTCAAAATCTTACTGTTTTTCCCCACCCTTCTGTTACTAAAAAGCCCTAAGTCTCCATTATCTGAATTATACCAATAGCTTCCTAACTTCCTACTGCTTCTACCCTTAACTCCCCCTATGGTTTCTTTTCTGCAGAGTAATTAATTTAAAACCTAGGTCAGATCATGCTAGCCCTTGTCTCAGAAACCCACAACAGCTCTCCATTTCACTGCGTGTCTGAGCCAGTTTTCTCGCAATAGTCTATGCCCCTCCCATGGTCTGGCTTTCTGGTGCCTTCTCACCCATCTCTCCAATGTGCTCACGCTCATTCACCCCCACACTGGCCACACTGTCCCCACCACGCTTCCGGGCCAGGCCTGCTCTCAGCAAAGGCTCTTCACTTCTCTTCTGCCTGGACCATTATTCCCTTGGGTGTCAGTCTTCATCACCCTCTCCACTCCTCAAGTCTGCTCCAATCTCACCTCCTCAGTGAAGAGTACCCTGACCCATGACTATTGCTACCTGTCCTCCACCCACTAACTTCAGGATTTCTGACTTTGCTCTATTTTTCTTTTTTTTTTTTTTAAAAAAATAACATTTCTCACATGCTAACATGATAAGCAATTTATTATTTTTTTTCCCTTACTATCTCCTCAACTAGAATGCAAACAGGGATCATTGTCTACTTTGTTCACAGTTAGATCCCAAGAGGCTTGAACAGTTTTTGACACCTAATCATTATTCAACAAATATTTGTTGAGCAAAATAAATATATGAATGAATGGGTTTGAAGGAGCATCAAATGATAACTTTTTCAAAGCACCCACCTGTTTTGATTCAATCCCAACAGGAAAATGAAAATTGAATGTGTGGGGGACAGAATAAGCAGGTGCAACTAAATAAGCAGCAGAATAAGTAGTGAACTGTAAGAGTGGGGATATAAGATTAGAGTATGAAACTCCTTGAAATAAGAGAAGATAGGGTATTGACTGTATATGTAGAACGGAGTCATTAACTACCGAAGACAGAGAACAATTTGGTCACAATAAAGCAGAATAAACTCTGTACTCAGTCTAGAAACCTTTGTAAGATGGTCTGGCAAGGTGAGTGATGACCTTCATGGCCACAGATTTTAATATAAACTAGAACATTGAATATCATCAAAGCTAAGTATTTAAAATGGTTACTTTACTCCTTGAATAACTTCTGGCACGCTAAGAAAGCAAAGACCCAGAAAATCAGGTAGGTCTGTGACTAGTCAGTTGCCTATTCTAGGACTGAAAATTTTTGAAAGTATATGATTTTTAGTGATAGATACAAAGATTTTTTTATTTCTCTAATTCAGCCAACTGTCTCACCTTTTACCCAGGCAGAATTATCATCTTCCTTGCAAGCCCCAATAAGAAAACTAGCCAATCATTTCCCCTTTCCAGTTTTCCTTTGTCTGTGTATGAGTCCATCAAAATCATGGATTCTCTCTGAGCCCCATCCTTTATACCCAATTGCCATGATTCAGTTCAAATTGTTCAGCTTTTTACTTCTCCCCACTGCTACCAGCCTAGTCCAAGCCCTCAGAAGCCCGTACCTATAATTCTGCATTAATTCACTTAATCCTCACAATGACCCCATGAAGGAAGTCCCATTTTTCAGATGAAGACTCTGGGTCACAGAGATGTTGAAAGTCAAGGGCTTGTAAGTGGAGAGCCAGGATTAGAACCCAGGGAGGCTCACTCCAGAGTCTGCTCTGAACCTCTGGGCACCCAGGGCTTTTTCAGTGACTGAATGAACTGGTCAAATTCCCCACTGGTAAAATTCCTCCCCCTCAATACATACTATATACTCATTTCCCTAAAAGTCTATCTTAGGTAACTGCTCCACATCCTCAGCATCTAA